AGAAGATTGTCCATTCTTTTTCTGTGATGCAGCTGGTGGATTGGAACCACATGCCTTAGGGTTTGCAGTGCAGCTCTTTAACAGATTGCAATTCAGGATCAGGAACAATTCAATATACACTCTTTTTTAAAAAAAAAAAATCATTGTACATTTTCTTCCCCTCCTCCCTCCACAGGCCTCCCCACACTGCACCCCTTGTTCCAGATTATTGTCATTCATATAAAGCTTACTCATATATTTCTTTCAGACAGTTATTACCTTCATCTTTTCTAATACAGTGTTCATTATCTATCAATTCTTTTCCCATTCTCTCCCCAAACCCCCATGTTGTTGTTGTTGTTATGTGCTATCGAGTCATTTGCGACTCATAGCAACCCTGTGCACAACCGCCCTGAAATCTGCCCTATCCTGTGCCAACTTTACTGCCTCTGACACACTTACCCTCATTACCCTAATCACTGTATCAGTCCATCTCATTGATGGTTTCCCTCACTTTCTCCATACCTCCACCCTTTCAAGCATGATGCCCCTCTCCAAGGACTGGTCCCTTCTTGCAACATGCCTGAAGTATGTCAGACAAAGCCTCAGAATTCTTGCCTCCAAGTAGCAATGTGGCTTCACCCTCTCTAGGATGAACCTGTTTGTTCTCCTGGAAGTCCATGGTTTATTCAACACTTTTCTCCAGCACCACAGCTCAATGGCATCAATTCTCTATCATCCATAGGCATTGTACAGCTCTTTGATGCACAGCAAGCAATTACTAAGACTATGACCTAGATCGGGTGCACCTTAGTCTCCAGACTGATGTCATTGCTCTTCAGTACTCTGGAGAAGTCCCTGACAGCTGACTTTCCCAAAGCAATTTGTCTCTTGATTTCCTGGCTGCTGATATACCAAGGGTGTTGATGTATATCCTATTTTATAACAGTGATGTTGTGCAGTATTTGTCCTTTTGTGACTGAGATCTTTCACTCAGTATAATGTCCTCCAGGCTCCCCCATGTTGGATAATGTTTTATGAGTTTACTTTTGTCAGTGCTGTGTAATGTTCCATTGTGTGAAAGTACCATAGTTTTTATATCTATTCATTTGTTGATGGACACTTGAGTTGTTTACATCTCTTTATTATTGTGAATAATGTAGCAGTAAACTTGGGTATGCATACATCTGTTTGAGTCATGGCTCAAGTTTCTTTAGGGTATATTCCCAGTAGTGGAATTGCTGGGTCAAATGGTATTTTTATTTCCAACTTTTTGAGAAAGCACCGGACAGCCTTCAATTTTATATTTTTCCTATCATTTTACATTCCCACCAGCAGTGAATAAGAATTCCAATCTCTCCACGACCTCATCAGAATTTGTTGCTTACTGCTCTGTTGAACTTTGCTATTGATGCTGGGGTGAGAAGATATCTCATTTACATCTCTCTGATAGCTAGGGATTTTCAACATTTTTTCGTGTGTTTGCTATCTGAATGTCTTTTTGGGTAAAGTGTCTGTGCCCATTTTGTGACTGGGTTGTTTACCTTTTTCTTGTTGCGTTACCAGAGTAGTCTATAAATTTTAGATATATCCCTTATCAGATATGTCATTGCCATTTTTTTCCATAATCTGTGGATTTCCTTTTTACCTTGATGAAGTTTTCTGATGTGCATAGGGACTTGATTCTTTTTTTTTTTTTAAATTTTATTATTTTTGTGTGTGTGTACCGTCAAATCAGATCTGACTGGTACAGGAGGAGATTGCCCCTCCTTCCCCGGCAGAGCATCTGGTGGATTTGAACCGTGCACCTCTGGGGTTGTAGTTGCAGCTTCTTGCCACTAGGCCACCAGAGCTCCCCGGGACTTGAGTCTTAAAAGTTCCCATTCGTCTATTTTGTTCTCTCCTAGTTGTAGGGTTTTCATTATGCTTGGAAGATTGTCCATGCTGTTAATTAAGGCTTCTAGTGTTCTTCTTAGCTTTTCTTTGATGAATTTTATGGTCTTTGCTTTTACTTCTAGGTCCCTGATCCGCCTTGAGTTGGGTTTTGTGTATGGTGTAAGATGTGGGTCTTAAGTTTTCTGCAGATGGTTCAATATATACTTTTCAGTGAGGACAGACATCTCTAGACAGACAGGTCTAGCCATTTGACCTGTTATTGCCATGGCCCTGTGGCTATGCCCTTCTTGGGCTTTGTCAGCAAGTTATAGTAATATATTTTTATAAAAACTAAAATCATGCAGAAGGTTATAAATTCAAAAGTAAAATTCCTCTTCCAGCTCCCCAACTCTCTCCAGAGGTGAGTATCAGTAAGTTTGGATTAAATCTGTATATGCCTGATGTTGTTGTTATATGCCATTGACTCACAGCAACTCTATGTATAATAGCTCTGAATCCTTCCTATCCTGAGCCAATCTCACTGTCTCTGATGCACCTGCCCCTATTACCTCAGTTATTGTGTCAATCCATATTGCCTAGGGTCTTGCTCTTCTGCATTGTCCCTCTACCATTCCAAGCATCATGTCTATCTCAAAGGACTATTCCCTCCTGGCAACATACCCAAGGTATGTGAGATGGAGCTTCAAAATCCTTGCCTCCAGAGAGCACCTTGGTTTCACCCTTTCCAGGACACACTTTTTTGTTCTTTTGGCAGTCCATGGTATGTTCAGTACTCTTCTCCAGCACCACAACTCACAGGCATCAATTCTTTTTTTGTCATCCTTAGTCATTGCCTTGCTTGCTGATGCATAGCAAGTAATTGCAAAGACCATGGCCTGTATCAGGCACACTTTAGTCTCTAAACTGACATCATTGCTTTTCAGCACTCTGGAGAGGTCGCTGACAGCAGATTTTCCTAATATAATTTGTATTTTGATTCCTTACTGCTATTGCCAAGAGTGTTGATTGTAGAGCTGAGAAAGCTGAAATTATTAACAACCTCAATCTCTTCCCCATCGATCATGGTGCTGCCAATTGGCCTAGTGGTGAGAAACTGTTTTCTTGATGTTGAGCTTCAATCCATATTGAAGACTACAGTCTTTGATCTTCTTTAGCAGGTGCTTCAGGTCCTCCTCAGTTTCAGCAAGCAAGGTTGTGTCATCTGTATACTGCAAAGTTGTATTATTTCTTTTTTTATCAAAATAAGTGAAAAGGATTTATTAAGATTAATAAGAAAGAAGCATAGCTAGTGAAAAGTCGGTCATGCAAAAGAATAAGGCGGGAGAAGAAGAAAAAGAAGAAGAAGGAGGACCCCTAGAAAGGCAGGGGTTAAACCAGACCTTACAGCATGCTGTCAATAGAAAAAGTAGACTAAAACAGTGATGCCCAGGTGGGCATTGCTTTTATGGATTCCCAATCTCATGAGACTTGGTTCTAGCCCCACCTAGGCACTTGTCTGATCGGCTGGGGAGGGAACTACTTCCTGGTATTAACCACCTTTGGGCACCTGCCAGAAATACTATCACATTGGTGCAACTGTAATCCCTCCTGTGCAAGAGTGAGAGAGATGTAGCAATTCTCACTCTTATCATTCCCTTTTGAGAGTAGTTATTCGGCCCTGATTCTTCAAGGAATTAGACAACGAAATCTGACTACTTCCTGCTGATTTGTGGATGTAGGTCTGCTTTATAGTTCAGGGCCAAGCTTCTCCTATTCTGACCCTAAAAGTAGCTACTACCTGGTCAATAAGAGTAGGACAAGCTAGTAATTGCTTGTGATCATTATCTTGTTCTGAACTTGTTGAAGCCTAGAGTAAACAAAGTTCACAATCAAGTTTAAGATACATGGTCCGAAAATTAATAGTAATTAATGGTCCTGAAAGATGTAGAAACCAAACCAACCTCTCATTTTTTTTTCTCAGATATTTTCAGCTAGTTCCTCGGCTAAGGTTTCTCTTGGAAATATGGCCTAATCTTAAAATGTTTACATAAAAGCAACAAGAAGTTTTTCAAAGGGCACACACACCACTCTTTTCAGCTAACTAGAAATCTAGGGCTATGATTTGATCATGCAAGAAAATCAGATCACATTTGCAGGGTTTCCAATACCTATCCTGTGTCATTTATTCACACTGAGGGCGTAAAGCTT